GGCGGATAATGCTCTAACTTTGGCGAAAAAGCCGGAGCAAAAAGATGATGCGGCAGAATTAGCAGCGGCCAAAACTAGTGCTAAAACCGAGATCGATAAATTAGTCTCCGGAGCCGGAGCAAAAATCATTGATGAAACCACTACCTTGACTACTAAACCATTAGTGGAAAGTGTAGTGACTATCTTTAAAGACTGCCATACCGCCTGAGGCAAAACCGATGATGACTCAACTTTAAGAAACAGATTAGAGGGTAATAAAACCAATAATAAGACCGAATGAGCGGCTATCGATAACCTTAAAAAAAATCATAAAAATGAAGATCATACGGCGGGATTTGCCACCGGAGCTTTAAACCATCTAAGATCCTTTGTCAAAAATCGGCAAAAAGAAATTGATGACTCCGGGATTATGACCGCGGATGATGTAACCAAAGTTAAAGCGGCTCTCGAAAAATTAAAAAAAAGCACGGATAAAGCGGTTAAAGATATCGTAGTTCCACGAGTTGAAGTAATTCATAAATTGTTTGAAAAAGGAGATGATAAATCCAAAGCCTTGGCAAAATTAATTCGCGACAATTTTATTAAAAAATTGGAGACTGATTATCCCGCTACTGATTATGAAACTAACTTGACTAAATTGGAAAGTAAATTAGCCGATTTAAAAAAGTATGCGAAGGGTGGTGAAAATGAAGCCATTTATAATGGCTTAGGAACGGATGAGAAAAAAACTTTCGATGCTTTACTTAAAAGTGTAGAAGATAAAGTGGAGGCTATGAAAGCGGCCGAAAAAAATGCCGAAAAAAATAATGGTAATGAAAAAACTTCGGAGGGTGGTTGAAAAACTTGACATACAATTGCCCTGGTGGCGGTAATATTATTGATTATAGGAGCCGTGGCTTATTACTTTTTGGGAAGAGATAACGAAGAAGAAAAAGAAGGGAGGGCGGAATAGGACGAATTAAGGGAGGAGGAGATGGTAAAGGAAAAGAATGATACAACTTTTTCATGAGTAAAATCCGCCAACTTTCCCCTTTCAAAGAAAATTCATAATCCTAGTTTATTACTTAAAATAATAATTACAATAATAATAAATCACTATGACAAGAAAAAATCTAACCTTAACCGAGGAATTTATAACTAGACATCCAAATAGAGAAATAAAATTATTAACGCCGTTAACACTTACTAAGTCGCTCCATAAGATTAATTTGGAATATTGAAAACAAATTGTCATTACTAATTCGTGGGAGGAAATTGCCGCAAAAATAGAGAACAGTAGTATTTTATTAGAACCGGCTGGAAATTTTACTGAAACATCAAGCATAATTAGTAATTTTAATCCTTTTAAAAATGAAGCAGAAAAAGAATTGGAACTTACTAAGGTTAAGGATAATTTATTAACCGACTTTAAAGAACTGGCTTGTCCAAATGCAAGGTTTCCCCTCCTACAAAAAGTAACTAAATCGGAAGTTAATCTCTCTCTTGTCAATTTAAAACCCGGTGATGTAATTTTTTTCAAAAAGTATAAACCTAAAACTCATTGGTATGATAGTGAAGAACTTGGCACTTGAAAGAAAATTGTGTTATCTCTCCGAGCAAGAGGAGAATTTTTGCGGGGGGATGATGGCAATTTAACTCTGGGCAGCGAAAAGGCTTTTTCCTTTTTCAAAAAAATCATTGATGAAAAGGGATTAATATATAATTTTACACTAATTACATTTTGCCACCACGGAGTTTATTCTCTAAATGACAAGGTTCAC